CCTCACCCCCTCGTGTCTACGCTCAGAGTTCTCTCGGGGTCTTCTGTCAACTATTTGTCTATTGCTGTGATAAAACATGGCCAAGGCAATTTAGAGATTTAGGTGAATGGGTGTTCCCTGGGTAAGGCTTCAATGGTTCTTTGTGCTGATAGAACACTTTCAGAGTAGAATGTTGGTGTCAAGAGGTATGAACTTTCTTACCATTTCTAATTACAGTTTTGTATTTATCCATCCCCACCCCACCATGGGTATGTACGATGGTGACCAGAGGCTGACTTACTGAATTTAGTTCAGTCCTTTTACCGTATGGGCCCTAGGGATCAAACTCAGCTCCTCAGGCTTAGAAACAGATGCCTTTACCCGCTAAGCCATCCTGTTAGCCTGGCACCACGATGTCTAATGTACAGTAGACTTCGCAGTTAAAAGTCACATTGTTTCTCCTTCCCCAGCGACCTAGGTATTTCCCTGGAGGGAGAACTTTCCAGGCTCTTGTGCTAACCAGAAAGGGCTACATTCATAACCAACTCTTTGTGTATCTATTACAGGTGTGAAATATCCATGTGTGTATTCATTACAGGTGTGAAATATCCATGTGTGTATTCATGACATGTGTGAGCTATCCATCCGTGTATCCGTGACATGTGCGGAGCTATCCATCCGTGTATCCACTATGTGTATATCACATGTGTGGAAAAGTATGCATAGATGCTTTTAGTATCTATAGTATCTATAGTATCTATGCATAGTTTTTCACACGTGTGGTAGCCTACTCTGGGTACCACACAGGAGTTTGGTTCACTTTTGCTAGAATTGCTCTGAATAATCAAATACCTGCCTGGCATGTGGGACAGTGCCCAGTCCACGCCATCGTTTGTCAATTGCATCCCCATTAAGTGCTTCTTGTGAATGGGGTTTCCTACTCCTAGAAACCAGAATGGTCTCATGACTCCTTCCTCCTCCACCAGCCTCACCTTCGGCGACTGCTGACCAGACATCAAGCCAGCTCTTTGAGAAGAAACGAAGAGTTCCAACCATTTTGCTGCCAACCTGGTACAAGGTAAGCTGTGGGTTTCCCCTTTGACCAGATGCTAGCTTTGTCTGGAGGAGGCAAGGACATTCCCACGTTTCTATCCACCTCAGGGGTCTGTCCTGGCTGTCCACATATTGTACCTTCAAAGGACTACCTTAGACATTTTTCTAAGTGATGCTCTCCTCTTTCCTAGTTTCTGCTCCTGATAGGATGATACCAACAGCATAATTTTCTTCCTTCTGTTTCCTCAAGATTTGTTGTGTTTTTAATTAGGTGTATGTGTGTGTGTGTATATGTGCATATGAATGCCGCACCCTGGAAGCCAGAAGAGGGCGCCAGCCCCCAGCACCCCCCCAGAGCTTAAGTTATAGTTGTGAGCTGCCAGACCTGAGTATTGGGAACAGAACTCTGGTCCTCTGCAAGAGCAGTTGAGCACTCTTAACTACCTAGCTCTCTCTCCAGCCCTTGCCTCATTTCCTCTGGAGCAAATATTGCCACCTGGCAGTACATTGCTATTTTTAACTCGTTCATCACCCATTTGCTCTTCCCCATCGGGGAAGGCAGGAACTTTGTCTTCTGTTGATTGGCTGACATACCCATCCCCTATGCCCAGACACAGAAGGGTCTTCATGGGGCGGTGGAGGGGTCGGTGCGTTTTCAAGGGTAACACTAGAGAGATTGCCCTTTGGGGGTAAGAAGTTGACTGATTCTGTGGATAGACGGCAGCAGGGCAGGCCCTCTGAGATGGGGTCCAGACCCAAGTCTGAAGGAGGCCCCTTCTTACAGGTCTAGTTTCACAGCATGAGGCTGGATTCAGACAGCAGGGGGAAGAGGAGGGAAGTCTGCAGAAGGGCGGGACTGCTGGAATGTCAGGGAAGAGGGAGGTATCGTGTTGATTGGTGCCCACTATACCCGTGGCTCTCTGATACCTCTTAGTCTGGCAGCCTGAGGTTTGGGAACTTCCTTGGGGAAAGAAGCACAACATACCTTTCATTCTCCCAGAATGAGAGCACCTGGAGAGGTGGTTAGAGATTCAGACAGGCTTTCCCTCGGGAGGGGGGCTCGCCCTTTCCTTTACAGAAGAAAGAGGCCTCTGCAGGCGTTCCTGGCCTGAGCAGCAGTCTGAGCTGGATTTTCAACAGATGCTTTATATGTCTGGGCTGAATGGGTGATGGGCAATGGATGAAGGAATGAATTAGGGAATGGTTCTGAGAAGGTCAACCTTGGCATAGTCCACCTGGAATCCACATCACCTTCTTACGCTGACATTTCTGATTTTTCCTTGGGGATACCTCGTCTTCCAACCACTTTGGCTGAAGCTGATGTTTTTCCTTAAATTCTTTTTGGTTGATGGCTTAGATTATGTTATCCAAGCATTTAATTTAACATCATTTTGTTTGACAGCTTCATACATATATATACCCTATCGTGACTATATCCATACACACATACCTGTTGTCCTCTCTCGACCCTTTCCCTTTCCTACTATGTCCCAACTAGCTACTCCTCCCCTCCTGTTTTCACAGCTTCCTGTTTTTGTGACCCGTGAGTGTAATTAGGGTTGGTTGCATTAGCGTGGGCGTGGGGTTATTTACTGGAGCATGGGAAATTCAGCGGTGGCTACACCACTGAAGAAAGGCCATTCTCCTCCCCTGGAAAACATTAACCACGCTTAGTTCCTAAGGGACAGGTGGGGTCTCGTGATCCCCTCCCCCTGTAATTATGGGATGTTGATGGGCCTACTCTTGCGCAGGTATCCACAGCGGCTGTGTGTTCTTGAGTGCGACGGCCATGTCATATCCAGAAGACTACATTTCCCAGCATTCCTCTTCATCCTCCAGTTCTTACCCTCTTTCCACCTCCCTCTTCTGCAGTGGTCCCTGGGCCTTGGACAGGGCGATGATGTAGGGAGAGGTTGATCTGAACCTCGCCCCACTCCCAGGCTTGTTCGGGGCAATAGTGATTGATTGAAGGCTGGGCGTGTGGCTCAGCCCTGACCAGTAAGAACTGGTCTGGAGACTTGCTGTGACCACAGGGTTGCGTAACCTGCTGGGACAGAATCCTGGAGGGGCCCTGTGGCAAGTGAGAGAGCCAGAGGCGAGATGGGGAGAGATGGGCAGCCATCAGCAAGTCTGAAGGACCTGGAGGCTCACATGGGCTTCTGCTCAGCAACTGGAGGACTGGACCGTCTTTCCTATTAGTGGCAGCAACATACACACACAATGCACATACAGACACACACACACATGTACACCCATACATATATACATATATACATATACACACCCACCTATATATACACATACATTTACACACCCACATATATATACACACCGTACACATACACACTACACACATATACATTCACAGAGACATACCCACTGTACACATACATATATACATACACCACATACACAGAGATTACACACATTTACACATACACATATACACACACACTATACACATACACATATACACACACATATACATACACTTATACATACACATATACATACACATATACATACACATATACACTATACACATACCCACATACACCAGTATACACATATATATACACATACCCAAATACACATATACCCACATACTACACATACGTACATGAATACACATATTACACATACACACACATACATATACATACACACATACATATACATACACACATACATACACATATACAGACTACATTTATACATATACCTACGCATACACATATACAGACTACATTTATGTATATACATACATGTACACATATACAGACTACATTTATGTATATACATACACGTACACATATACAGACTACATTTATGTATATATGTACACGTACCCATTGGACACATACGTTAACACATATGCATACTCACAGCACACATACACATACATAACCACCATGTATACATGCACATATATCACATACATATATATACCAACATATGTATACACCACATATACATACCCGCCATACATATACATCACACAGACATACTACTACACAGATACATCCACACACGTGTACACCACATACTCATACACATACACAGAAACAATGCTTTAAAACTCACAAGGAAGCTATAAGAACTGTGCAAAGGTCACCCAATGTTTGGAATTTGCTGACGTTTCTCCTGCTGCCCTACCTCTGCTGTCTTCCACTGAGCATAGAGTACCTGCATTGTAGCACTTTACCTCTGAGTACTTCAGTCTGTGTTTCCTAAGAATGACAGTTGTTTTCAGTGCCGGAGACTGGGCTGGACCTTCCGCTACCCTTCCCACCTCACAGATGTGGAAAGAGAGGCATGGGACGTCGCTCACCCGAGGACCTCCCCCAAGCTCTCTGATGGTCAGGGGAATTCAAACCCAAGCCCCTGGCCCTGATCCCACAACTGTAGAGTGCTCACTCTAACCCAGCGCTAACCTCTCTTTCCTCTTGAAGCTCTATCTCTTTCGGTGCGCACCTTCTGAGTGACCTCCGCTCTGCTCCGCTCCACTCCGCCTCCTCCTCGTCACTGGACTTTCAACTGTCATCTGCTCTTTCAAGCACGTGGGAAAGGTCTCCTGGGCATGTTCTTGTAGCACCCGCCATGCCACACTGGGATGCCCCCGAGGCCCACGTCCAGACCCTTTCCGCCTGCTCTGCACTGTATGCTCCAGAAGGACATACATTTGGCTGTGGCCGCGTGAGGTGTTGGAGTAGGATGGCGCCGCTGTCCTCATGTGATAGTCTGTGTGCGATCTTTTAGGGATGGCCAAACCAGGGACCTTGGATCTCGTTCCTCCTTAGGAAGCTGAGGAGGCTTCACCCCAGCTTCAGCTCACAACCTGAACCAAAAGAAGCGGGGTTTAGGAAAGGAAAGTCTTTTTCTTCCGTCTTTCTACACGCAAATACGGGGCCAGCGAGATGGCTCCGTGGGTAAGGGTGCTCGCAGTACCCATTCTTTGGTCGATGAGCCATCTCTCCAGCCCCTGGTTATTAAACGTTTTAAAAGCTTTTGCTTATGCCGCAGGTTTCCAGTATTCCCACGAACCAAACCTGGGTTCAGAATGGGAAGACAATGCCTGGTCACACACTCCTAGTTTCATTTCTATTGCTGCCATAAAATACCACGACGAAAAAGCAACCAAAGGGGGGGTTATTTGGCCTGTAGTTCCATGTCCACAGTTCAACATTGTGGGGAAGTCAAGGCAGGAACTTAATGCATCCCGTCCACAGTCAAGAGCAGAGAAAGAAACGCACTTTCGCTGCCTGCTTGCTTAGTGCCCGCTAGATTTCCCCACTCTTACCCTGTCCAGAGCCGAAACTATGAAACGGCGCACCCACACTCAGGGTGCGTCTTTTCATCTTAAGGAACTCGGTTAAGACCAACTTGATCTAGACGATTCCTCACTGAGACCCTCTCTTCCCGGGTGACCGTGCTGTGTCAAGTTGACAATTCAACAAACGAGCACGTTGAGGACCCAAGAGATGGTCGGCAGTGAAGCGCATTTGCTTGGTGCTCTCGCAGAGGACCTGGATTTGGTTCCCGGCACCTACATTGGGCAGCGCGCAATGACCCGTGACTCCAGTTCTGGGGGATCTGACATCCTCTTCTGGCTTTCACAAGCACCTGCACACATTGTGACATAAACCACATAGAAATCACACACACACACACACACACACACACACATACATACACATTAAAACACCACACACACACACACACACACACACACACACGTACACACACGCAAATGGTATGGACCTGGTACGCAGCGAGGAGGTACCAGGGCCGTCTTCGCAGTCTGCAACGGTGTAGAATTTTGAATACAGCTCAAACTCCCACCTCTTTGCATCTCCTCTCCTGGGCCAAGGGAAAAGACGAGGCCTCGTATGAGCCGTAGTGGGACTTTGGTGTTATAGGAACCAGTGATCTTCAAAGATGTAGCTGTGCACTTCAGCCAGAAAGAATGGCAGTTACTGGACCCTGCTCAGAAGGACCTGTACAGGGATGTGATGCTGGAGAACTACGGGAACCTGATCTTCGTGGGTAAGGATCATCTTGCGGTTCGTTCTGGGATCCCGGGAGCCTGCTGGGTCTCAATGCCGGAGATGCTGTGGTTCACATGAACTCTGCCACAGGATCAAATTCACACCCTGCAAATCGGGTGCTGTTGGCATCATCCTAAGACTGGTGCGTTCCCACAATGCTCCGCTTCAGAAGTTCAGTTTTTAACTCACATGCGGGGTGCAGGGTAGGGGGGAATAGAAGGTGGCATGTGTTGGGAACCGATGCCCCCTTCTCTGCTCACTCCAGACTCGGCCACCATCACTTACTGGTCTGGCTTACATCCAGGACCACAGTTAAGCCAACCCTGAATGCCAGTAGGTCCAAGAATGGACTCGCTGACTGATATGCTAGTGGGCTCGGCTTCCTGGACTAACAGAAATTTGAGTTTCTATGATGAGGAGGGGAGGTGGGGCAGGACAGCACTGAGGAGGCTGACAGCCTCCGTGTCCCAGCTGGCTGGTTTATTTATTTATTTATTTTTGTTAAAATCTCTTAGCTCTCTCCTTTCTGTGCAAACATTTTCTGAAAGGGATCCCTGAGAGGCATGCAACAGTTGTTTTTTTCTTCCTCTTGTTTTTCTTCTTCTGTGGAACAGAGTGTTATATCTTCAAGCCAAGGTTGATCACCAGGTTGGAGCAAGGCATTGACATTTTTGCCAAAGGCAACCATGTTCATAGAGACCGCCGGCGTGGTGAGGCAAGAGTCAGCAGGAGTGACTCCTCTGCAGGTGCGTCACGGGGACATTCTAACAGCTCTGTAAGCCATCAGTCCTGTCCTCCGCCATGCTGGGGACTGACAGGGTGTGCCTTCCTCCCAGCCCCGGGGACATTGTCGCTCTCTGGGTTAGTACCACACTTCTTCCTTGTCCTTGGGTTGCGGGTGACGGTAATGACCAGCCTCTAGACTTTTCTCCTGGATCTCTTCCTCGAGTGACGATCCTGCACTGTTTTCAGTTAACGCTCCCACCTGAACATTTTACTTTATTTTTTAGTGTGGGAGGGAGAGAGTGTGCGCACATGTGTGTGAGAGTTTGTGTGAGAGTGTATGTGTGTATATGTGAGAATGAGTGAGTGTATGTGTGTGAGAGAGTATATGTGTGTGTGACTGAATGTGTGAGAGTGTGTTTCTGTGTGTGAGTGTGTGTGTGAGAGAGGGTGTGTGTGTGTGTGAGAGAGGGAGAGAGAGTGTATGCATGTATGTGTGAGTGTGTGAGAATGAGTGAGTGTATGTGTGTGTAACTGAATGTGTGTGAGAGTGTGTTTGTGTGTGTGTGAGAGAGAGGGTGTGTGTGAGTGTGTGTGTGTGAGAGAGGTGTGTGTGAGTGTGTGTGTGAGAGAGAGGTGGTGTGTGAGTGTGTGTGTGTGTGAGAGAGGGTGTGTGTGAGTGTGTGTGTGAGAGAGAGGGTGTGTGAGTGTGTGAGAGGGTGTGTGTGAGTGTGTGTGAGAGTGTGTGTTTGTGCGTGTGAGAGAGGGTGTGTGTGAGTGTGTGTGTGTGAGAGAGGGTGTGTGTTCGAGTGTGTGAGAGGGAGGGTGTGTGACTGTATGTTTGAGAGAGTGTGTGGGGGAGAGTATATGTGTGTGTGATTGAATGTGTGTGAGAGAGTATGTGTGTGTGAGAGAGAGGGGGGTATGTGTGAGTGTGAGAGAGAGTGTATGTATGTGAGAGTGTGCGTGTCAGTGAGAGGGTGTGTGTATGAGTGTGTGAGAGAGGGTGTGTGAGAGAGTGTATGTACATGTATGAGTGGGAGACTGGTTTCTATCTGACCTTAATCTTTTAAAATATTGCTAATTCACAGTTCTCGGTTGACTTATAAAAATAACAGTGCATGTCTGAATCACATGATCATTACCCAACACATTCTGAACTTCAAGAATATGTATAGATGGTTTTGGTTAAGACAGTATCTTAATGTGTGCAACGGGGGGGGGGGGGGTGAGGCACTGTCTTGCTATTTAACCTAGACTGAATTTGTTCTTGGAATCTCCCTGCTCATAAGTGCTGGGTTTATAAACATACACTGTGTCATACTCAGCTATCATATGTGTTTAGGAAGAATTCCGAGTTACCGTAAGTGGTGTTCATGGGATGGCGAGGTGGCTAGGCGGTTAAAGGTGCTTGCCTCCAAGACTGATGGTCTGAGTGTGGTCCAAAAGAACCACCAGCGAGTTCCTCTGACCTCCACAACCATGTAGTAGTGGCATACGCATGCCCACATCCGCACTCAAATAGTAAGTGTAATTTAAAAAACAACAATCCCGGTGCACAGCTTTAATCCCAGCACTCAGGCGGGAGGCAGAGGCAGGCGGATGACCTCTATGAGTTGGAGGCTAGCCTAGTCTACATGGTGAGTTCCAGGACAGCCAGAGCTGCATAATGAGATCCTGTCTTGAAACAAACCAAAACCAATGTTCTGTCTTAGTTTAGCTTCTGTTTCCCTTGTGCTGGTCTTTTCCTCTTTTCGTCTGTTTTTAAATTTGCACACGTGGTAACAGGCTTCAGCATGACATTTTCTGACACACGTGTTCTTATTAATTATTCTACCGTATCCCCCGTCCCCTGTGTTCCTCCCACTAGCCCCCTTTCTGCATTCACGGTCAGATGTGGCCTATCACCTTCCGTTCCTCTCTCTCGCATACCCTCCCTTACAGTCTTTCCCCCTCTTGTGGCCCCCTACACCTCACCCACTCCTAAATATGTGTGCACACGGTTACGGGAAGATTGAAATATAGGCTCCCCGTATGAGAGAAAATGTGCGATGTTTGTGCCCCTGAGTCTGCCTTGGTTTTCTTAACTTACTGGTTTCCAGGCTTCTCTGCAGTCATCATCCAATCTGCCTTATGCATCATGCCTAAGAAAAATTAATCCCAGTGACCCTCACCTGTCCACTAAAATAACTAAAATGTGAAGAAGGAATTCTGCGGGGGAGGGGGGAGGGGAGTGGCATTGTCTTATGCCTTGTTGGATACTAGGACAAAGAAAGTTCCGGTGACTTATAAAGAACACACACTTAACCTTTGTGGTTCTGAAGTCAGGAAGTCCAGGTTTTGGGATACAAGGACTACAGAACCTGGAGAGAGCCTGCTTTTTGATCACGGGCTTTGGACTTTTCTTTGTGAGCTTGCATGGCATAAAGAAATCTGGGAGGATCTCTGGTCTCCTATTAAAGATCCCATTCATGGGGGAGGACGGGAATTCATCCTTACCATATAAACGATCTCTCGGGGGTCCCACCTTCAAGTGCCATCACGTTAGGGGTTAAGCAGGAAAGACACCGGCATTGGGTCAGTTACAGGCGCAGAACACCAAGAACCCTCGCAGGCTGCTGATGGAAATGCCAACTGGTAGAGGCCGTTAGGAGAAATTAACCACCAGACAGCACCCACTAGAATTGCACACGTGTGTTATGTCTAACAATTGTAGTTCCTTATGTAGATACGGTAGAAATGTGCAAACTCTATTCAAAGCGCCTCAAGCTTACCCAGATGCCAGTTAGTGAGAAAACAGTGAAATATACATTTTGGATATTTACATCAAGAGGTTATTATAAATAATGCAAATGAGAGAGAACAAGATAGTGAAAATGTGGTCACCCATACATAGCATTAATAAATTAGTAACAAATTAATCAATAATAATAAATAATAAGTTAGTGATATAATAAGTATTAATTAATAATTAATTAATAAAAGTGGTCCCACACACGTAGCACTAAGTGCAAAAGGCTGGGTACTGAACAGTGTGTGCTGTAGCTGCCCTTAAGTTGTCTAAGATCAGAGAAAGCTCATTTATAGAGTTAGAAGCCAGGTTGGGCCAGTGAGATGGTTCAGCAGGTAAGAGCACTTGCCCCCAAGCCCGACAACCAGCTACCACAAGATGGCTCTATCTTGCACATGCAAACTGTGGCACGCCTGTCTCTTCCCCATTAATCAAGTTAAGACAGTGACTAGATGGAAAATGAGAAATGGAAATGATTGCTTACCTGCTTCTGGTCGTAACCTTCGTGCCATAGGCATGAATATAGTCAGCATGTGAACACCAAACAAATATTTTTTGATGCTCAAAATTTTGATTTATTAAAATATGTCTTATGTATGACCACACACACACACACATAGTCTGTCTAAATGTAATTATGATTTGTTTGTTTGTTTATACATTATATACATTTTTTTGTTAATTACGTACAGCATTCTGCCTTCATGTACGCCTACACACCAGAAGAGGGCACCAGATCTCATTATAGATGGCTGTGAGCCACCATGTGGTTGCTGGGACTTGAACTCAGGACCTCTGGAAGAGTAGTCAGTGCTCTTAACCTCTGAGCCATCTCTCCAGACCAATTTATTTATTTCTTTAAGTTTCATTCTGCATTCCAATCCCAGTTCCCCCTCCTATCCGTCCTCTCATTCCCCCTTACCTCCCCCCAACCCACCCCACAAATATTTTATATTTTATACTTTCGTGCATATGCTATATTCTAATTATTAGTAAACATTTTAAATGAAAACAAAAGCAGACATGAAATAGATGTTTCTGTTCTAAATCCCCTTCATGGACCTGGAGAGATAGATGATGGCTCAGTGATTAGGAGTGTTTGCTGTTCTTGGATAGGGTTCCTAACACCCATTATCAGGTAGCCCACGGCTGCCTGTAACCTTAGATCCACGACATTTGATGCCCTCTTGTGGCCCCGAAAAGCAGGCTCCTGCACTCGCAATGCGTATGTACCCACATACAGGCGCTCACGCACACACATACACACACACACGCACACACGCACTTTTTTTTTTTTTAATGTAAGCCTTTAAATCTCCTTCAGGGAAGAAGACCCGGAGTAGTTCAAAGACAGAAATCCCGAAGTCACACAGTTCTAAGAAAACGCCACGGGAGAAGCTGAAGAAGAAAAAGAAAAAGAAGAAGAAGAAGAAGAGAGCGGATAAAGGCGATGGCCCCAAGAGCTCGAGGGCAGACAAGTCCTCCAAGAGAGATGACAGGCCGTCTCAGAAGAAGGGGAAGTGCGGCTCCGCTTCGGCTCCGGCAGCAGGTAAGACGATCCCCGCTAGCAGTAAGAAGCATGCCTCCGTGACCCCGGGACCATCTTCGAGCCAGACATCGGCCGCGACAGCACCACGGAGCCCCGCTCCGGAGAAGTCGACTTCGGGGAAAGACGCGCACGGGAAGACGCAGCACGCCAGCAGCAGCAGCAGCGGCAGCAGCGGCAGCAGCAGCAGCAGCGCCCCGGACCCCAAGCGGAAGCCAGCGCGGCAAGGTAAGAACCACTTCAAATGCAAGGAATGCGGGAAGACATTCAACCAGACCCTCCACCTGGTGGAGCACGAGCGAATCCACACCGGGGAGAAGCCCCACAAGTGCGACACCTGCGGGAAGTCGTTCCGCCACCTCTCGTACTTCCTCACGCACTACCGGATCCACACCGGGGTGAGACCCTACAAGTGCAAGGAGTGCGGCAAAGCCTTCAACAGCAGCTCCACCCTCAACAACCACTGCCGGATCCACTCGGGCGAGAAGCCCTTCAAGTGCCCCGAGTGCGGGAAGACCTTCAAGCAGAGCACCAAGCTCACCCGCCACCAGCGGATCCACACCGGCGAGAGACCCTACAAGTGCGGGCGGTGCGGCAAGTCCTTCGGCCGCAGCTCGTCCCTGAGGGAGCACGAGAGGATCCACACCGGGGAGAAGCCCTACCGCTGCCAGGTGTGCGGGAAGACCTTCAGGGTCAACTCCCACCTCTCGGAGCACCAGCGCCTCCACCTGAAGGTCAAGCCCTACAAGTGTGACAAGTGTGGCAGGCACTTCCGGAACAGCACTTACTTGGCGGAGCACAAGCAGAGTCATTTGCCCGGCGCCCGAGTGGACTGCCCGGAATGTGGCAAAGTCTTCGATTGCAAAGTATCCCTTCTTAAGCACCGGAAACGACACGAGGCCAACTCCAGGTATCGCTGCAAGGGATGCGGGAAGACTTTCAGGTGTAAGTCGAGCATTCAGAGGCACGAGAGGCTGCATGCTGGGGAGAAACCTTTCGTGTGCACCAAGTGCGACAAAGGGTTCACTGACAAAACTACGCTGAATAATCACTTGAAAATCCACTCTGGAGACAGGCCAGATCCATGTGCCCAGTGTGGGAGAACCTTCAAAAAGCTAGCTACCCTGCTGCTTCACCAGAAAAAGCATGTTAAAAAGAAACCCACCGACAATGTATAAAAGACTTTTAGCCAGAACTCACATCTGTGAGTCTTTGGAACAAACTCGAAATGAGGGAAAACTATATATAAATGAACAGCTCCTTCATTTCTTAGTTGTTTTCCTGTAAGCCAGTAATTGTTCACAAAAGACTGATTTTAACTCTTCCCTACTTTGAGCATTTGTGCAATATAAAGAGACTTGTAGTTGTTGTTATTATTATAATACCAGTTGGCACCTATGGTTATAGGCAAAGGATGATATCACATATCCTACAATGTACCAGACAGACTCCCTTGCCTTCCAATAGCTAAGAATGGTTTGGCCTCTCTCAAGCAAAAGCCATATGGGCATTTGAATTTGAGAAGGGACTCAGGTAGAGTTTTCTCTGCCAGCCACTACAGTAACCACTAACTAGGTATGGCTGTTCAAATGTCAAAGAATCAACATGGAATAAACATTTAAATGCAATCTCTTGGTTGCATCCTCAACACCTCAAGTCCTCAGTGGGCAGTTAGCTTCTCTGTCCACTGAGATCACTGACGACTAACATTATCAACACCATGGAAGATTCTATCAAACTCGTTTAGATCTCAGTGATCAATAATTATCTCACGGGATGATCCCGACAGACTAGGACACAGCTTTGTGATGTGGAATTCGTGTTTTACAGCGGAATGTAGCATTTTACACGTCTTGTGAATGTGTTGGAGCCTGTGATGTTTGGAGCGCTTTCAGATCTCTAATTGGCCAGCGCCCCACCCACAGGACTCCTCCCTCTGTGTGTTCAGTGGTTACTAGCAATGTCCCTGATAACTGTGAGCATCTGTTGATCACATTCTACCTGCTGAGTATGGTGCTGAACTCTATGGGGAGACCTAATTCTCATCAGAGCCCTCTGAGATAAAAACTGTTACATACCTAATTTTCTATTGAGAAAACCAAGACTTCCTTAAAAGTATCTTTTTTCTCCTCCTCCTCCTCCTTCTCCTCTCCTTATTCCTCATTCTCCCTCCAGAGGACTCCTACCTCCATTGTGCCTCAGACACAATGACCAGTAGGTTGCTAGCAGTATTATTGATGTATTTGAGTGTTCATCGATGTCTTTCTACTTATCAGATATGGTGCTGAAACCTTTACGTGAACAGTATCAGTTAATCAATCCTACCAGCCATATGACATAAGAAGTATTATGTACCTTACTTTCTTTTTTATTCCCTTTTGTTCTTTGAGGCAGAGTCTCACTGTGTAGCCTAGACTAGCCTCAAATTTGTGACAGTCATCCTGCCTCCGTCTTTCCGGGACTGGGATGACGTGTGAGCCACCATACCTGGCTGTGCTGCTTTGTAAGATGTGTTCTTTCCAATTTTGCACTTCAAGCAAGACTGCATTGCTGATTTTATATTGCACTCTTTCTAATAGAGAAAATTTATTATATATTATATATTTACATAAAATGTCTTTAAAATGTGTGTGCGCGTGAGTGCATGCGTGAGTGTGTGCGTGCGTGCATGCGTGCGTGCATGTGTGTGTGTGTGTGTGTGTGTGTGCATGTGTGCTTACATTTCTGTGTATACAGCTCCTGACAGCAGAAAGCAGGAACCGGGACAGAGGTCAGTAAATCATGGAGTGTACAGATGTAGGTGGATCTAGCCACAGCCACTTGGAAGGTTTTGGTACATGCCACACAGACTCATTTATGAATTTTCTGTCCAATGGTTGTTTGGAGGCATACAGAAGATGACACCGAGTTATTGGAACAGAGATCCAGCATCTCAGGAAGCTGAAAATAGTTTCCCTGTGACATTTGTCGGAAAGCATTGGCTGGCAACCTCTGAATGGCGGATGAGCTGGAATGCGTTGAGACTCCTACCTCCAATGTGCCTAGGGCAGAATGCTTAACGACATCACTGATAACTGTGAGCATCTGTTCGTCATATTCACTTATCAAGTGTGGTGCTGAGCTCTGTGTGTGAATTAGCAGACCTAATTCTCATCAGAGTCCTCTGAGATAAGAACTGTCATGTACCTAATTTTCTTTTTGAGAAAACCAAGGCTTTTCTTTAAGATTCTCTATCTCCCTCTCTTCTCCTTTCCTTTAAAAATTTGTTTTTAAATTACAGGACTCCTACCTCCATTGTGCCTCAGGCACAATGATCAGCAGGTTAGTAGCAGTATTACTGATGCATTTGAGTGTTTATCGATTTTTTTTCTACTTATCAGATATGGTGCTGAAACCTTTACATGAACAGTATCAGTTAATCAATCCTACCAGCCATATGACATAAGAAGTATTATGTACCTTACTTTCTTTTTTATTCCCTTTTGTTCTTTTGAGGCAGAGTCTCACTGTGTAGCCTAGACTAGCCTCAAATTTGTGACAGTCATCCTGCCTCCGTCTTTCCGGGACTGGGATGACGTGTGAGCCACCATACCTGGCTGTGCTGCTTTGTAAGATGTGTTCTTTCCAATTTTGCACTTCAAGCAAGACTGCATTGCTGATTTTATATTGCACTCTTTCTAATAGAGAAGATTTATTATATAGTTGCATAAAATTTGTATTATATGTATATGTATGTATGTGTGTGTGTGTGTGTGTGTGTGTGTGTGCGAGTGTATGCATACATGCTAGCACACATTTGCATTCCTGTGTATGTAGCTCCTGAGAACAGAAGGCGGGAGCTGAGACAGAGGTTAGTAAATCGTGGAGTGTACAAACCTAGGTGGATCTAGCCCCAGCCTGCTGGAAAAGGAGTTTTTGGTACACACCCACATAGACTCATTTATGAATTGTCTATCCCAATGGTGGCTTTGGGGCTTGCAAAGACAGCGTCAAGTTATTAGCAGAGAGACCCAGCATCTCGTTGAAGCTGAAAAGACTCTACGGCCAATGACGACTTGGCTAGCCACCTCTAACGGCTGATGAACTGGAGGAAGTGAATTGGGAGGAAGCGGTTCAGGAAAAGCAAAGGCCGCTCTGTGGCAGCCTTGCTGGAACTCTGGTGCCACATCTCTCAGTGCTGAAGACGCACAGTACTACAATCCGCTACAGGCCACCTGTGTGTGCTCACATGCATAGCCGTGTGTCTCTGCGTATCAGAAGACACGTTTTGGAGTTGTGGAGATGATTTAGTGGTTAATGCCCTGGCCACGAAAAATGTGAAGACCCAAGTTCGGGTTCCCAGAATCCATGTCAATGGCAGGCAGGGGTGGCGGCCCTCCTGTAGTGTCCGGAGCGACCTAGCTAGAGAGACTAGCCACATTGGAGAGCTCTGGGTTTGATTGAGATTCTGTTTCAATGAACAAGGTGGAAGAGTGACGGACCTCCATAGGCATTCTCTCCCACACATGTAGACATGTATGCACACGTGCACACATGTGCATGAAAATGGAAAAAAAAATTAAATAAAAAAACAAGTTCCACAAATAAGACTTACCAGCATGAAATCTAGGTCCTAACCTGCTCTCACTTAAAAGTGCTGGTGACAACACCCTCAACTGATCTTGTCCGGACCGAAGACCCTTGTCACCCACAGTTGGCAAAGCTTTGGCCGGTAACAGGGCAGCAAGTGATGTGACCAGAATCTTCTACTGCCTCCTTTACCAGACCCTCAGAAATACCTTGAAGGACTTATCCGAAGATGGATATATGGCGGCTCGCTCCACGATACCAACCGAGCCTGTGACCTTCCACCTGCTCCAGAATGTCACCAATGGAGTTGGGAGCAAGGGCAGAGGGATGATCCCAGGCTCTGTGGATTGTCTTTGTATCTAATTCGGAACCCTTTCGGTGGGAGGGGGCATAGATGTCTTACAGTGAGCAGAGGGAAGCCATGGATGAAGAAGTCTGAGGACTCTAGTTGGAGCTGTCTCTGGAGATGCGACTTACCTAACTCTTGAAAGGATCACAGGAGTGGGATTAAGCTGTATTATGTGGGTAGGTGACTATGTATAGCCAGTTATTGTTTTATGACTGAAACATTTGCATGTGCGTGGGATTGGCCATGTGAGGTAGCTTCCCCTAGTAAGAGAAAAAGGAGACTTTGTGTTTACTATGATCCTTTTGGTTGCAAACAAGTAGCCAGCACACGCTAGCTGGAAAGGAAATCGTGGACATGCGTGCCTGGAAGGGCTCCTTCCACAAAGGGTTTGTGAGAGCTGAGACCCTTGATTGGAATCAAGAATTCGATATAGCCAAGACATCTCTGGAGCTCTGGGTATTTCTTTGCATTGTCCTTCTTTCAATGGACTGAAGCATTCTCCATGTTGGGGAGAGATGGCTTCCAGATGTGTGGATGCTTTTCAAACGTAGAGGGGAAAGAGTTTTCTCTCTCCGAAAGATCCCAGCGAGGCTGCTGCAGTTGGGAAGCAATCTGAGGACTGGTTGGTCCTTTCTTATCCTTGAGCAGATGCAATAAGAACGTAGCACTTTTGTAATGTTTTCTGAAGATGGTCTCTATGGGGGGATGCCAGGGAGACAGGGCCCATCTCTCTGCAGGAGCGTGGGCAGTGACACAGGCCAGTCGGAGAAGAATCTGATGAGACCATTACCAGCATGTCTCAAAGCATGTTGGTTTTTGTTTTGTTTTGTTTTGTTTTTCACAATAAAAGTGTTATATTCATAGGCTGGCAAGATGGCTTAACCAGTAAAGGCACTTAGTACTAAGCCTGACGTGAGTTCAATCCCGGGGCCCCACACAAGGGAAGGAGAGAACAGACTCTGGCAGGCTGTCCTCACACCTCCACCTGGGTATCCTGGTTTGAACACAAGCACACGCATATACACCCAATAAATGCATGTAATAAAATGTATTCTTTGATTTGCAATGCATCTAAGGATGCTGTTTAAAGTATAGTCAAAAGGTATATATGAAGGTTCATTTTGACATTTATATCAACAAAAATGTATACACAGCAAATATTCTACAATGAAGCATGTTACATGTAATTCCTTCCTCCCACCTTCCCTCCCTCCCACCCTTCCTCCCTCTTTCCCTCCCTCCCTTCCTTTTTTTCTTTTATGAGACGGGGAGTCTCTATGTAGTCCTGGCTGTCCTGGAATGTAGACCAGGCAGGCCTTGAACTCACAGAGATCCCTGTCTCTGCCTCCTAAATGCTGGGGTTAGTGCATGTATCACCCCGCCCATCTATATGTGTATTTTAATGCATGTACAAGAAAAATAAAAATAGACTATTTGTCTTACTTTTGTGTTTGTTTTCTCTGAATATAAGCAATATCTTAAATATTAGTTTTCATTTATGCTTTGATAGTCTCATACATGTATAAAATGTATTTTAGTCACATCTATTCTATCCCTCAATTCTCCCTGCCCCCCCCCCACCGTCATGCACACAGAACACATCTCTCTCCCAACTAAGCATCCTTTTTTTTTTTTTGGTTTTTTGAGACAGGGTTTCTCTGTTGCTTTGGAGGCTGTCCTGGAACTAGCTCTTGTAGACCAGGCTGGTCTCGAACTCACAGAGATCCTCCTGCCTCTGCCTCCCGAGTGCTGGGATTAAGGGCGTGCGCCACCAATGCCCGGCTGCATCCTTTTATTTCTAACGCCAAGAAGTTCAATTAGTGCTGTCCATATGCTCCTGGGTGTGGGGCCATCCACTGGGGACACAATCTTCCAATGGTCACACACTGGACTGGAGCTGGTCATAGTTAGGTCACACAAAAGTTAGTTCATAGTCCCAAAGAAACGCGACTCTACCTCCTCCGGTACCCATCGACTGCCGACAGCTCCCTCGCTCAATAACTTAACTGTTTTTCCCTTGTGCGGGTCATGTATAGATGGCCCCAGCTGTCCACAAGACAGCATTTCACAGCACCCCTCATGTTCTGGCGCCCACATTCTCTCCACTCCCCTCTTCCACAATCTTCCCTTAGCCTACTGGGGTCAGGTTGACACAGATGGCCCATCTGCGGCTGAGCACCCATAGTGGCTTAGTCTTAGCTCTTTGCACAGTTGTGAATTTCTGCATCAGCTGCCACCTATTGCGGAAATACTAAGTCACACGAAGTAGGGATGTCCTATGATATTTTATTGAGGAAGAAGTCACTTACATGAGAAGCCAAGAAAGCCGAGAACCCAAGGTTCCCAAGCTCGCACACTGCTCTCTACTGGAACCCAAAGAGCAAGTGTCTCCTCCCCGCAGCTTTTAACCCTCTTATGGTCTACGTACCTGTGACCACGCCCAGACGGGCGTGGTCAGCGCTATGAGTACATAAGCTCTCTCCCTACAACCACCCACTACAAGAAGGAGCATCTCTGACCTTGTGGCTTGCTATATCGATCCGATGCAGAAGGCCACATGGGCCAGGATCCTGGAGCGAGCTTCCTAGACTCAAGCATGTTTTAATCCAATGAACTGTAGGCGTGGTGTGGGAGGGGCCATCGCTTGGGCTTCTCCGAGGCCCTTTCATCCACTTGCCCCTTTCCATCACGGGATCGAGGTGTTCACTGAGCCTGCCCAGCTCTCAGCAGCACAGAGCTATGCACAACAAGTCACTGGCCTTGGCAAGGACTTGGTTAGGGGGATGGTTCAAAGCCTTGGTCTGTGTTCAGGGATGGGGCGGTAAGAGGGACATGCAATAGAGTTGCTGTGCCGTGGAGTTCTCAGGACTATTCGAAACCAGCAAGGCCTGGCAGATGCCAGTACAGCTGGACTGAAGCCCAAGAAGACCAACTCAGACAACAATATCCACAGGCCACAGTTTAACCAAATCAGTACTAGAGGTGTCTCTGGGTTGGCGGCGGGTGGGGGTGGGGAGTGGGGTCATGTGGACCTTCTAACAAAACAGACTAGAAGGAACCCAGGAAGCTGGACTTACACAGGGGGGCGTGGACAAGGCCTTCCCCCAGGAGAAGTCCCACAGAAGACCATCACCCATGTTTGCAATCAGCAAGAATGATTTCATTGTTCCAGCAGGCTGGGGTGTCACTATGCATAGAAACAAGATGGTGAAAGACCCAAAGAAAGGGATGGAGGCTTCTTTTAAGCCTTACTAAGAGAGTGTCTAAGGAAATCAGGTCATTGTAACTACAATCGGCTTAAACAAGTAGCAGTCACATTAGTACGTTCTAACTGGCTGGAGTTAGTTAGGGGGGCTGGTGAGAGCTATAGTTCTCTGTTTTGGGGCAGGCCTCAACAAGTCCCAGATCCTGACTTTATTTGGTCATCACCTTGAGATTCTATAGGGTTGGCCTGAGTCCCATATGTGCGGTTTCCCTGGTAACCCTGCTATCAAGGACACCGGAGGTAAATTGTCCTTTGTTCATTGCTTTTTCTGGGATCATTTGCCTGAAGGCTAGAATGAAACCTAGTAAGGCCTGAGGTCTGGTTCTCATTGAGGCCTGGTCTTCTCATCTTGTTTCCTTTTTCCTGTTACTGTTTCCAGCAAAAGCATCTTTGGGGAGAGGAGGCTTATTTGGCTCACAATTGCAGGTGACAGTCCTGGTAAGAGCCTGAAAGCAGCCAGTCATCCAACCATAGTCAAGAGCAGGGAGAAATGCAGTAATGCATGCCAGTGCTCAGAGCAGGGAGAAATGCATTAATGCATGTTGGTGCTCAGAGCAGGGAGACGTGCATTAATGCATGCCAGTGCTCAGAGCAGGGAGAAATGCAGTAATGCATGCCAGTGCTCAGAGCAGGGAGAAATGCAGTAATGCATGCCAGTGCTCAGAGCAGGGAGAAATGCAGTAATGCATGCCAGTGCTCAGAGCAGGGAGAAATGCAGTAATGCATGCCGGTGCTCAGAGCAGGGAGAAATGCAGTAATACATGCCAGTGCTCAGAGCAGGGAGAAATGCAGTAATACATGCCAGTGCTCAGAGCAGGGAGAGGTGCAGTAATGCATGCCAGTGCTCAGAGCAGGGAGAAGTGCATTAATGGATGTTGGTGCTCAGAGCAGGGAGAAATGCAGTAATGCATGCCAGTGCTCAGAGCAGGGAGAAATGCAGTAATACATGCCAGTGCTCAGAGCAGGGAGAAGTGCATTAATGGATGTTGGTGCTCAGAGCAGGGAGAAATGCAGTAATGCATGCCGGTGCTCAGAGCAGGGAGAAATGCATTAATGCATGTTGGTGCTCAGAGCAGGGAGAAATGCAGTAATGCATGCCAGTGCTCAGAGCAGGGAGAAGTGCAGTAATGCATGTTGGTGCTCAGAGCAGAGAGAAATGCAGTAATGCATGTTGGTGCTCAGAGCAGGGAGAAATGCAGTAATGCATGCCAGTGCTCAGAGCAGGGAGAAATGCAGTAATGCATGTTGGTGCTCAGAGCAGGGAGAAATGCATTAATGCATGTTGGTGCTCAGAGCAGGGAGAAGTGCAGTAATGGATGTTGGTGCTCAGAGTGGGGAGAAATGCATTAATGGATGTTGGTGCTCAGAGCAGGGAGAAATGCAGTAATGCATGTTGGTGCTCAGAGCAGGGAGAAATGCAGTAATGCATGTTGGTGCTCAGAGCAGGGAGAAATGCAGTAATGCATGCCAGTGCTCAGAGCAGGGAGAAATGCATTAATGGATGTTGGTGCTCAGAGCAGGGAGAAATGCATTAATGGATGTTGGTGCTCAGAGCAGGGAGAAATGCAGTAATGCATGCCAGTGCTCAGAGCAGGGAGAAATGCAGTAATGCATGCCGGTGCTCAGAGCAGGGAGAAATGCATTAATGCATGCCAGTGCTCAGAGCAGGGAGAAATGCATTAATGCATGTTGGTGCTCAGAGCAGGGAGAAATGCAGTAATGCATGTTGGTGCTCAGAGCAGGGAGAAATGCATTAATGCATGTTGGTGCTCAGAGCAGGGAGAGGTGCAGTAATGGATGTTGGTGCTCAGAGTGGGGAGAAATGCATTAATGCATGCCAGTGCTCAGAGCGGAGAGAAATGCAGTAATGCATGCCAGTGCTCAGCTGGCTTTCTCTGTGTCACCCAGTCCAGAGCCCAGCTTACAATATCTTGCAAGCCATATTCAGGGTGGGTCCTATTCCCACCTCAGTTAAACCAGCTCAGGATCCTCCGGGGTTGGAAAGATGGCTTGGCAGGCAAGAGTTACTTGTCATTCTTGTGGAAGATCAAAAATAGCTCCCCAGTAATAGTGTTTTCTGTACCCTGATAATAGGTTTCTCCACTGATACGATAAGCCAGATCAGCCCAAATTAAAGAGTAGGAGAGCAGGTATATTTGATCAAAGCCCTCCAGGATGAGTCCGCCAGCCCCCAGAGAGCTGATGGGGGAAAAGAGCAGGAGAGAAGTCACATAGCTCCTCTGAGGAAGGGGGCTTAATATTCTGTAGACTCAAGGCGGGGTGATGGCTCGTTCTCCCCAAGCTGGGTTTGTGCCCCATCATGATAGGTGGGGTCTTGAGCAGTTAGCAGCCTCGGGGATGGGGGGGAGGAGCCTCGGCCATCACTAAGAATGTAGGGCTTTCTTGGCAGTTCTCTGAGAGGGTGGGGTTTGGAGAGAGAGAGTACTGGGACCAAGCTGGAGATTCCAGCAGAATACCCAACAAACACAACATGAGGCAGCTCACAGCATCCTTTAAATCCAGGGCCTGTCCTCTTCTAGGTTCTACAGACATGAACACATGAGGCATATATTAACACACAAGTGAATACATGCACACAAATACACACACACACACACACACTAAAAAAAGTTCCTCACAGGCTTGACCACAGGCTGACCTAGTGTAGACAATTCCTCATTAAGACTCCCTCCCTTCCAGTGGAGTTTAGGGAATCCCGAAGAAAAGGGGGAGAAAGGATTGTAAGAGTCAGGGGGTCAAGGACGCCTCAGGAAAACTCACAGAGTCAACTAACCTGGGTTCATAAGGGCTCACAGAGACTGAACCAACAACCAGGGAGCCTTCATGGAACTGACCTAGATCCTCTGCATACACGTTACAGTTGTGTGGCTTGGCTCTTTTGTGGGACTCCTAACAGTGGAAACAGGGGCCCTCTCTGATTCGTTAACTGGCTTTTGGGGCCCTACTCTCATACTGGGTCACCTTGCTCAACTTTAATTCATAGGGATATGTCGTGTTTTATTGATACTCACGGGAGACCTGTCCTTTCCTAAACAGAAGCAGGAGTGGATGCCGGGGGAGGGAGGGGTGTAGGGGTGGGAACAGAAGGGGTGGGGTGGGGGGCAGGGCTGGGAGGAGAGGTGGAAGGGGAAACTGCTGCCAGCATGTTAAATAAAT